GGTTGAGAGCACAGGCTCTGGAATCGGCCTACTTTAATCCATATCCTGGCTCTAGTACTATTTATGTGACTCTGGATAAAATAGATGGCAACTACAGGCCTGTTTTGGCATCACTAAAAAGGGCATGTTGAAATTCATGCTATCTCCAGCTACTTTGAAGATGAAATGCTTTAAACATGCGAAGTACTTAGGGAAGTGCTTCCCTCCTTTGGTCCCTTGCACCCCTGCCAATGCCACTGCCTCTTGCCAATCTTCCAGCCATCCGAGGAGAGACCCCAAGTCTCAGGCCACAGTGCACCAAGATGAGGAGGAAATGTGCAGGCCATCGACTCCCACCCAGTGTGGAGTCCTCTCTGTGAAACGTGGCCGCCGACCCAGCCTCCACTTGCACATCCTAATGACGTTTCCTCCCCACCGAACCTCCGCTCCATCTCTGGACATTTGGAAGGTCCTCTTTGCATCGAACAAGGATCTGTTACCTGGTCTCCTCTGGTAGTTGCTCTGACTGTTGGAATCAAAGGCAACTGGGCAATCAAGTAACTTTAAACCAAACCAACCACACAGAATTGAATCTACAGACTCGGGACAGATAATGTGGACTGAGCTGTTGGAGACCACTATGAAGGGGCTCTGAGCAGGATTTAAAATGAACGAATTGGCTTTCTATGTTTATCTGTGAGTCTGTCCTAGGCCTCGGCCCCTTGCCTGGCGATGGGAGCTGATTCATAGTAAGTGAACCTCTATGAATCACTGGTGCTGGCTGAAGCCTGTAGTTGCCTGTGAGGCCAGAGATACCTCAAAGGGCAAGATAAGGCCACAGCTGAGGACATCTTGGCTCCAGCACTAATTAAGTAAACAGAGCCTGCAGCTGAAGGAATTTCACTCCTGCAGTCTCCATTCTACCATAAATGTCATCTTGGAGATAAGATGGTTCTCCTAAACTGGCATAATTTACTACTTGGAGAGGTCTTTAAAGTGACTCTCAAGGTCCTGCTCAGTTCCTGTGCTTTCCTCAGTTTCCCCGCCCTTTGTTGCTGGACCTAATAAAAGTGGGAGATCCAGAAAAGTCTTTGTCTTAGCCTTGAAGAGTCTTGAGCTCAGTTAAAGAGTTTTGACCCTCCTGGAGCCCTAAAATCATACCGCTTGTCTCATTTTATTTAAGCCTCCGCTGTACACTGATTTGGGAGATTGGGGATCTAGATCAGAACCTGAGAATGAGCCTCAGTTTTACCACTTATCGGGTGAGTGACTTGGGCAACTGAACCTTTTCATTCCTCCCATTCCTCTTGTGCAAAGTGGGAACCGAGTGCTACCCATGACAAGGGCTGGGTGAGGACTCATGTGAGCCTGTCCGTAAGACTCAGCCAACGTTAGCTGATGCCAGTGCTGTTGCTAACATCCCCGAGCGTGTGCTTTATCAGGCCAGTCACCCACATTTCCTTTGCTGGATCCTCTCTTTTGCATGGCTGCAGTGGGCAGGATTCCTCTCCAAGGAAAGCCCCAGAACTGGGCCCAGGGCTGCCGTGGCTCCACCCACAGAGACCGGAAGGTGCCTCCCGTTCTCCCCCCTGGCTTGGCTCCGGTTCCTTGGTTCTCTAGGTTCTCTCACAGGTCCATTCCCAACTGATTTTAAGAATCTGTATTTTGGGGAAGTGATCTTGAGAGAGAACTGGCTTTTCTGTGCATACATTACACCTTTGACTCACCTTGTATTTGCAGACAACTAAAAGAGGGGTGAGCAGATAGTAACCACCTGAGGCTGCGCAGTCCATGGAGTAGACTACAACACACACACCACGGATGTGACACAAAGGTTGCCTTAGACCAAAGGGAAGACTCAACTTACAAAAGCTGGCAGCTGGCTGAATTTGGGCCATGAATCACAGTTCTGAACCAAAACCCGTATTTTTCCACTTCTCACCCCCTCCCCATCAGCCTGTGAAGCTGGTCCCATTGGTGGTTTTGCTTGTTTGGTTTTTTTCAACATTTATCTTTTTCAGCTTTATTGTGCTGGACTTTGCCCTTTCCTCTACCCTGCTAAGATCTTTCTGAGTCCTGATTCCACCACTGTCCAAAGTAATCTCTGTCTCTCTGAACTTTGTGCCATCTGCCAATGATGCTGTTTATCCATCTGAGTGACTGATTAAAACTGTCAACTGGAGAGATCTGAATAGAGCCTGGAAAGGTGCAGGAACCCCACCCACCCCCCACCCACTGCCCTGGGGTTCTGCTCAGGATCCAGCCTGAGCCACTTGCTGGAAGCCATCCAACAAGTCCCCGCCCCACCCCAGTTACCCTGGCCAGTCTGAGGAGGGCACCAGTTGCAAGCAACCCGAGGTACCCCCCATGCATTCCTCCCCTAGGCGCTCAATAAATGCTGGCAGAATGAAGCAACATGTGACTTTCACGTATGTTTCCTCCTGAGAACTTCTTTGTCCTTGCCTTCTGCGGACCACTCATGAGGTGACTGGCCTTCAGTGATCTGGCTGGAGATCAGGACTGTGCGCCATCTCTTCCCAGATGGCCTGTGTGGTTCTGTGGCAGAAGACTGCCTAATGTCCTTGTCACAAAAGGCTGAGGAGTATGGCAACTTCAGGTGCTGTGGGAGAGAGATTTTTGGAAAAAAGACATAAATACTCTATTCTGCCCCAAATCACACTATGCCAGGCTCTCCTTGGTACGCCTTTATAGAAGCAAAACCTTAACACGGGTTCTTTGAAGCGTCCGTGTTTGTAGATTACGGGCAATATGAACAAACACCATCTGTGCCCGTGAAGTGCTTTCAGGCTCGTCCCAGTGTTTCAAACAAAGCAATTCATACCTTCTTCACCTTTAACCAGTACCAAGTGCTCGCTTTGACAGCACATACATTAAAACCAGTATCATGCTGTTCAATTCCCAGAAAACTGCCTTCTCAATATTGAGTCTTACACTGAAAAGAAACAATACATAAAGAGAACACTGCCGCTGACCTGTAGTCATTGCTAATAAATTATGGAAAATTATTGACCATCTCACTCACACTGGATAGTTCAATTCTTTACCCTGAAGTCCTTGGGAGCACCTGCTTCCTCTTTGGTTAGAAATTCAATAGAAAAATTCCTCACTCAGCTACTTAAAAAATATCAACTTGTGTCAGATAAGGATTGCCAATGGGTGAGTCTAGGATTGAAGCCAGCCAGCAGATACAGACAATGTTGTCTTCTCTTTTCTTCTTTCCTTCCCTTCTACCTCCCTTCTTTTCCTTCTGGTATAAAATATGAGCTTGATTTTATTTTAACAAAGCACATACTCCCCTATTTCATCACAGTTTTCTCTATTCTGTTCCCTACAGGCTGATCCACATCAAATAGCTTTACACAATTCAATTACTCTCCTGGCCCTGGAAGGCATTTGAGTTTAGACCCTGGCATTTGGGACATGGAGCAATTTGCCAAAGGGAAGGTTAATTATGATAGTTATTATTTTAGAGCACTTACCGTGGACACGAACTGCTCTGTATGTACTCCCCGTATATCATATGGCCCACAACTCCACGAGGCTAAGAAAGACTCGCCACAGAGCTGGTTCTTGTGGGCAGGCCTGCATCAGCTGCTCCTCTCCAAGTGAGCCACTACGGCAACGCAGGACAGCACGTGCCTTTCTAAAAGCAATCACATCTGATCCTCTTCTGAAAATTTCAGGAAAGCAATTACAGAGGCTTGAGCTGAGCAGTAAGCCATGACTGGATCTGAAATATAAAACCCAGAAAACAGGCAAAACAGACAAGCCTCAGAACACAATGGTATATACTGACCCAGAGAAAGGAAATTCTAAAAAACTGAGAACGAGGGGCTGGGGATTTAGCTCAGCAGCATAAGCGCCTGCCTTGCAAGCAGGCAGTCGTGAGTTCAATCCCTGGTGCTGATAAAAAGGAAAAAGCCAAAAAAAAAAAGTTAAATAAACGCTGAGAACGAGCGGGCACAGCAGCATAGGCTTGTCATCCTGGCACACTGGGAGACTGAGGCAAGAGGATCACAAATTCAGGCCCCTCCTGCACAACTTAGCAAGACTATCTCAAGATTTTAAAAAAGGTCAAAAGGGGTCAGGGATGTGGCTCAGTGTGAAGGCCTTGGGTCCAATCCCCACTGCCACCCCCAGCCACAGGGTGGGGTGGAGTCCACTGAGAACTGACTTCTCCAGGCTATTTGTCCTCACGGCTCCCCTGTGTCCGTGTACACAGCTCGTTGGAAATGCTTTCATCGCCCTCGGACCTGAGCAGACCACCTCATTTCTGAGGACAGTGCACCCAGGCAGCAGAGCTGACTGGCTGCACCTGTGACCTGACAGCCAGTGCCTGAAAAGGAAAAGGCAACAGGGAACTGACCACCACTTAAAAATTCCAGGAGTAGGGGGCTGGGGATTTAGCTCAGTGGCATAAGCGCCTTCCTTGCAAGTGTGTGGTCATGAGTTCGATCCCTGATACCGATAAAAACGAAAAAGACAAAAAAAAAAAAAAAAAATTCCAGGAGCCGAGCCTCCGGTCTCTGGGACCCTCTCCCTCCCCTGGGCTCCTGACAGAGCCTGAAGAGGTGAGAGAGCAGAAGCCAGCTATTGGTCGTGCTGTCTACAGGCAGGAGGCCTCCTCAGGTTCCATGGGGGTCACAGCCTGTGCTGTGATCTGGCCCGAAACCCAGGCGCAGTCCCCGCCTGACCTCCCAACAGAGGCCAACCCTTAACTCTGGAGCCCTACTTGCCCAGAATTTCACATATCTCTGACTATCATTTTCAGGCATGATCATTTTCTAGAAAGCTGGGAGTTTTGTCAAACACAGGCAGACCGTATCCTCCAGGGTCTGGATCCTATGATGCTAAGGACTTGCGTGTCCCCTACCCCAGCTCCCAATTCATTGTTGAAGCCCCAGAACCCCGTATGAATGTGCAGGAGACAGGACTTTAAGGGGGATTAAAATTAAATGAGGAGGAGCCTTAATCGAATCAGACTAGGTCCCGCACAAGGAGATCCAGGCACTGCATGTGTGTAGGAAAGGCCCTCTGAGCATGCCCTGCAAGAGGACAGCCATCTGTAAGACACAGGCAAGGCCTCCTGGGAGCCTGGCCATGATGCGGTGCATCCAGCCTTTAGGACTACAAGAGATACATGTCTGTGCATAAGCCTTCAATACACAGGAAAACTTCCAGACTGTGTCATATTGATGTTCCAACCTGCAGGAAGCTGAGGCGAGAGGATCACCACAAGTTTGAGGCTTGCTTGAGCTATGTTGTGAATTCCAGGCCAGCCCAAACTACATAATGAGGACTTGTCTCAAAAGCAAAAGCAAAAACAAACGAACAAAAAAACACATGCCCAAGAAAACCAAGCTTGCTCATAGAGGGGAACTGGAGATGGCCTCTAATCGTCACTCTTCTCACCTGAACTTCCCAAGTATCTCTGGTATGGTTTGGACAAGTGTCCCCCAAAGGCCCATGTGTTGATGGCTTGATTCCCAGGGTAGGAATACTAGGAAGCAGTAGAATCTTTAAGAAGTGGAGCCCGGCGGCGACCCCACGCCAACCGACCAGCCCAGCGTGCTGGCGGCGGTTTGCGTCGTTGGTCCCCGAGACTTAAGATCGACTTCTGAAGAGCCGAAGGGGAGCTGCAGCCATGAATGAAGAAAACATGGATGGAACAAATGGATGCAGCGAAGTTCGAACTGGTATTCAGAATGAAGCGGCCCTGCTCGCATTGATGGAGAAGACGGGGTACAACATGGTTCAAGAAAACGGACAAAGGAAATTTGGGGGTCCTCCTCCGGGTTGGGAAGGTCCACCTCCACCAAGGGGGTGTGAGGTTTTTGTAGGAAAAATACCTCGAGATATGTATGAAGATGAGTTAGTATTTGAAAGAGCTGGGAAGATACATGAATTTCGACTTATGATGGAATTTAGTGGTGAAAATAGAGGTTATGCTTTTGTGACGTATACTACGAAAGAAGAAGCCCAATTGGCTATTAGAATTCTTAATAATTATGAGATTCGGCCAGGGAAGTTTATTGGTGTCTGTGTGAGCTTGGATAATTGCAGATTATTTATTGGAGCTATTCCCAAGGAAAAGAAGAAAGAAGAAATTTTGGATGAAATTAAGAAGGTTACAGAAGGAGTTGTAGATGTCATTGTTTATCCAAGTGCAACTGATAAGACCAAAAATCGTGGTTTTGCTTTTGTTAAGTATGAATCTCACAGAGCCGCTGCTATGGCTAGGAGAAAACTAATTCCAGGTACGTTCCAACTGTGGGGCCATACCATTCAGGTGGATTGGGCTGATCCAGAGAAAGAAGTTGATGGGGAAACTATGCAGAGAGTTAAAGTTCTCTTTGTAAGAAATTTAATGATCTCAACTACAGAGGAAACAATTAAAGCAGAATTTAATAAATTCAAACCAGGTGCCGTTGAACGAGTAAAAAAACTTAGAGATTATGCTTTTGTTCACTTTTTCAACCGAGAAGATGCAGTGGCTGCTATGTCTGTGATAAGTGGGAAATGCATCGATGGAGCAAGTATTGAGGTAACACTTGCAAAACCAGTAAATAAAGAGAGCACCTGGAGGCAGCATCTTAATGGTCAGATGAGCCCCAGTCCTGAAAACCTGACTGTGTACGCTAACAAAGAAGACAGGCTAGGCAAAAGTCTAGGCAAGACACCAACTCTTTCTGCTCGTCTCAATGGTCAGCACAGCCCAAGCCCCCCTGAAATTGAAAGATGCACTTACCCTTTCTTCCCTGGGACAAAGCTTACTCCAATTAGTATGTATTCCTTGCAATCCAGTCATTTTAATTCTGCAGTAATGCACTTGGATTATTACTGCAACAAAAATAATTGGGCACCACCAGAGTATGACTTGTATTCAGCAACCAGTCAGGAGGGGAAAGTACTCCTGGTATACAAAATAGTTATTCCTGCTATTGCAAATGGGTCCCAGAGTTACTTCGTGCCAGACAAACTCTGTACTATGATTGAAGATGCAAAGGAACTGGTAGCCCAGTTTACATTGCTTCATTTGGACAGGGAACACAGTTTCTTCAGCCTGGACCTGTGTAGAAGAATTTGGAGAAAATAAGCAGGTCCTTTTTGATGTTGCTTGAGCTTATTCTCCTGCAGTTGATCTCATTCCCGTTGGCTAAACATAAGTTCCATGACAGCACTAAGTTAATGTGCCTGTGTTAGAGGCCTCATTTATGATACCAGGACCGTACTGCAGAGAACATAACTCTCTACCTGTCCGTTAAATGACCTAACTCCTCTCCTCTTATTCCTAGAAACACTATAACCTTAACATACCCATTATATGTTACCATAATTTGACTAAAGAACATAGTTGAGTTTTTGGAAAATATAAGATTTACCAATTTGGTCTTTAATACACACATAATTATTAGTTAACAAAGCAGGAAATTATTGGTATATATGATGAATGTATACTGAGGAACAGTATTTCAAATAGAATTATTTTTTAATTTGGTTTAATTTTTGGATATTTTTCTATACTATAAGTTGATAATGGTTTCTTAAAGTTTATTTTATGAGGACGATTCATTTTATTGTTTTATGGTACCAGTAGGACTATTAAATTGGTATGTGGAGTTTTATAAATGTTCCTATTAGCTTTAAATAATGAAATATTGGAAGTTAGTTTATGCCATATGTTTCTAAAGTGCAGGGGTAATATTTCTGCTGTTTGATAATTAATACAGTTTTTAAAAAAGCAACTATGAATTGTTGTTTTTTTATCTTTTCTTCATGAATTACCCCTTATTGCTAGAACCAAATTTAAAAGAAGCTTTTTTGTGGAGCGCAGACAAATCAGAGATTTTCTTTTTCTATGTTTCTTTTTCTATGTTATTATCTTTTTCTATGTCAAGAATGCAATCTGTTAAGATCTCTGAAGCATTGTGTCAGTGAAGGAAAGCATTAAATTCTGACTTGGTAAAACTATTAGGATTTGCATTGCAGTGACCTTGGAAGTAATCTTTACCACTGATAGGGTATCATCAGGATCTTAAATGTTAAACATTATGTTAAAATGTGATTATAGTTTTAATGCTTTGTCTCTTTGAATTAAATTTGTGTCCATAAAGATGTGCAGTGTAATTGTTCATGTATTTATTTACAGACTGCAGTTTCCGTCGCAGCTCAATAAATAGTCTTTCCCCTGTTAGTGCTACTACCCTCTCTTCTGGGATTCCCAGCATGCTTCCTTACACTTCAAGGCCTTACTCTTATCCAAGCTATCCCTTGTCACCAACAGTGTCACTTGTTAATGGCAGCCATGTGGGACAACGACTATATATCTCCAATCAGGCCTCATTCTTCTGAAGAAAATCTGTAAACATTAGTATGAAAATTACTTTGTGTAAAGCATGCAAAGTAAACTACTGTTTTATTTTAGAATCGGGTTTGCACATTTGGCTTTAAAAATAATACATTCCAACATACTAAACAGCAACTATAGTTCAGAATAACAGAGTTATAGAATTTATTTTAAGATGCAATATTTGAAAAGTTATTCCAGGGTTTGCAAACTGCTATTCTTTTTAAACTTATGGAATTTTCATGTAATTCCTGAGTGGGCAATAGATCCCAGTAGTTTAATTTATTGTGTAACTACTTTGCAAAATTTTTACAAATATTAAGCCACTTGAAAGGAACAGTTGTAACTAAAGATGATAACCAAGGATCACTATCTCTTTTGGAGATTGGAACAATTATATATTAGGTAGAAAGAAATGATGAGACAAAAAGATTAAGATGCTAATTTTATGTAATACTAAAGATAACACAGTCTACCATTGTGGTCCTTGAAAACAGCTATAAATATTTTAGTTATTAATTATTTGTTACAGAAATAAATTCTAATTTTGCTGTTAATATATTTAAGGATTTTATAATTAAGCTTCACTTGTGTTTTTGATATTCACTGTATTTGCATAAGAAGTGTTAATGGTTTTTAATGTTGAAATCATGTGTTGTTTAATTTTTGTACTTGAATTTGAACTTTTTGACATTAAATACACCATGCTTCTAAAAAAAAAAAAAAAAGAAGTGGAGCGCGAGCCAGGTGCAGTGGTGCAGAGGCGTAATACCAGGAACTATGGAGGCTGATGCAGGAAGATCATGACTTTGAGGCAAAAGCCTGAGCAACACAGTAATGCCTTGTCCCCAGAAAGAAAAAAAATGGAGCCTGATGGGAGACCCAACAGGCATGGGGTCTTGAAGGCAATATTGGAACTCAAGCCCATCTAGTCTCTCTTTTCCTTTCTTGCCATGCAGTGATGGTGCCCTCTGCCATGTGGTCCCACCGTGATACACAGCCTTGCCACAGGCCCCAAGCAACAGGCCAATGGATCATGGAGTAGAACCTCTGAAACTGTGAGCCCAAATGAACCTTTTCTTTTTAAGATGATTATCCCTGGTATTTTGTTACAGTAACAGAAAGCTGACTCTTGCATCTGAATTTGAACAGAGAAGTCACACCACAGGAAGCAAAACCTAGAACAAAATTACTATCCATTATGTTTTTAAATATGCATTAAAACTTATAACCTAATTACAGCTTTCTCTCTAAGCAAGAGAAACCCATCATAAGAAACCCTAACACAGTTAGAAACCAAAACCAGAAAGTCTTCCTTACCTATGAAACCTGTAAATAGAAAGTTCTCAATAAATACTGATTGATATTAATGGTATGTTACCTTTACTCCCCAAATGGCCCCTAACCAATGTTAGCAAGGTTATTATTCAGTTTGGGCTTAGAAATGAAATCCTCATGGAACCAACCCTGCATGTTTCCATTAGAAAGAAATTTTCCTAGTAGTTCCAGAATCTTGCTGATGGCTTGTTGGTGGCAAGTCCCAGTAGCCTAAGAAAACACATCTCCAGAATTTTGTGACCATTTTGAAGATGACTTTTATGCCGAGAGTTATTAAAAAGAAACTTCTCGTTTTTGTGTGGTGGTACACACCTGGAAGACTGAGACAGGAGGACTGCAAATTTGGGCCCAGCCTGGGCAACTTAGCAACTTAGTGAGAACTCATCTCAAAATTAAAAATTTTTAAAAGGGCTAGAGATTTAGCTCTGTTTAAAAAGGCCATAGGTTCAATGTACAAAATCCCTAGGTTCAATGCCCAGTACCACGAAGAAAGAGAGGAGAGAGGAGAGAGAGAGAAAAAGAGTTCTCTTCTCATGGTATTAAGCCTGTCTCAGGCCTGGTGTATGGCTGGAAGAGTTTGCTATTTCCCATGAGCAAGCCCTGTCCACAAACCCACATGTGACTGAAGCCTGAGATGACTGCTCTTTCCTATGAGAGGAGCCCACTTTTAAACAGAATTATTCATTCATCTAACAATTACCCAGAATAACAGGTTTCATTGGACATTTTCATACATACATACAGCACACTTTGATTACATCCACTTCCCCATCATTTTTCTTACCCTCCCCTTCCCCCAACCTCCTTCTCTAATAGGTGAGAGGGTACCTTGTTACACTTTCCAGGCATTCAAAACTCTCAATAACATGCCAGTTTTTAACATGACATTTAAAGGCAAGGAGAAAGACCAGGGTGTAATGCTGAGCATAGATGGCAACTGGGCACGGGTAAATCTGGTGACCACAGCAGTTGGAGGTGTACTTTCAGCTCCTAGTAGCTTATGCTGAACCATCTTGGCTGTCATCCTGTGCCCTTGGACTTTCTCTTGGCTTTGTGCTTTCTCCTTTATGTTTTAAGAGTATGCTGCCAGCTTCTGCAGGCCAGGGAAGAGAGCTAAGACGGGGAAACACAAGAACCTCAGTTATAGCAAGATGAGTGCAGATTAAAGCCACACCAACACATCACGTTTCAACCATCAGACAAGTAAAACTACAATATCAGGTAATCTATTCTATAGAGCATTTGGAGTACTAACTGCCTTTCTCATATACAGTATTACTTCCACGTGGGAGGGCCTAATTTGTCAGCATCAAGAAAAACACATACCTTCACCTTTGACCAGAAAACTCACCATGAGGATTTTTCTATCTTAAAAGAGGGGGAAAAGAAAAGAAGACTAGACTGTCCTCCCAGACATACACCAATGGGATGAAAGACCTGATCTATCATCAATGGTTGTTGGTACCATAAGAAAACAGGCACTGATGGAAGGTCACGGTATCTCCTGTTAAAGTATGCTGGCCCAGAAAGCAAATTGAGTGTGATTCATGCTCCAGATTTAACTACCAAATCATAGGAACTATCAAGGACAGAGGAACAAGTTAAACGATACCATCAAGGAAGCAACCATCAAAACCCAGACTGTAGGAAACTCTGTAGACAAACAATCTGGCTAAGAATTTTCCAGAGCTGATGAAACATAAATTCTCAAACAAGAGCCATAATGAATACTAAGCAAGATCTATAGGAAATAAATTCACATTTATAAGAGCATTGGGTGAAAACAAGGAAAACAAGCAACTTAAGTTGTCAGAGAAAAAATATTACCCACCAAAGGTATTTCATGGAAACAGAAGGAATCCATAGATTAAGACCAATGTCTGTTCTGAAGTGGGGTACCAAGATCTAAGGGCCTCTCCCCGGAGAGACAGCCTGTCAGCAATAAGAAGGGCAAACACAGGTACACAAATCTTTCGTTTAAAATCATCTTGTGTGCAGAAATCATTCTTTCCTGCTTCTGTTAAGGAATGGGAAGAAACCACTCCTTCAGTGTCCAGGCAGCAGAGCTGAAGTTCAGTGTCACCACAGGCCCCTGACTGCTGCTCTGTGACCTAATGAAAGAGATTAGCAAGACCGGTAGCATGGCCACCAGTAGTGCTGGCAGAGGTTTGCTTAGGTCCCAAGCAACAACTCCGGAGCCCATCACCACCAGTGAAAGACGCCACCCGAGTGAAGACGGCTGGGGCAATGAGGACAACACTACTGAAGACAGGAGCGGTGGGGCAGTTCCTGGAGGTCAGAAACGTGCCACCTGCTTCTGGCTGCTCTCTATCTGCCTCCCTGGACACTGAAAATTCCATCATTGGGGATCAAGAAGAATACACTACAAACTTCCCCACAGAACTTCCCCACAGAGTCTTCATTTTGGCAGAGCCCAGAACCTCTCATATGCTCCACGGTCGATGCTGAAGTCAGCCGGAGCAGGGCGATGATAGCTGTGGCTTGGCCCATCATGAAACCATCACACTTGGGCAGCCAGCCTCAGCCCGGGCCAGAGACGCCCTAGCTGGCAGGACAGAGATCTGAGCCATGTGTTCCCCTGGGCAGGCCTTGCATCAGCCCTGTCAGCCCTTGGGTCCGCCGTCACCCATCCCAGGCTGGAGTGAGACTGTGACTTCCCCTCCCTTTTGCCCGGCTGGCTGAAATGAGCACCATCTGTACCACTCTGCACTCAGTGACTTCATTTCATTGCTTTCCTGTCCTCGCGAGCTAGAGGAAGAAGCTGAGGCTTAGACACAGTAGAAAGCCAGCAGGTAGAAGAACTCACAATCCGTGGCTATACACAGCCGTCAGCATTTACACTGTACTAGGTGTTATAAATAATCTAACATATATGGGAAGATACAACCTATACCATATATAAAAATTACATGCAAATATGTTGTCTTTTATATTTTATAAAGTGACTTGAGCATCCTAGGGGATCACGGATCTAGTCCTCTGCAGGTAATTCGGGGGTGACTTACAGCCCCCACCTTACTCCCCACCGCTAGAGGAAGTGTGCACCTGTGTGAGACTGCTGAGGCCTAAGCCCTGAGGTCAGTCCTGGCCAGCACACCCCAGCTGATTTCATAGGCTTCATCGCTCTAATTCTGCATCTCTTTCGCTGTTCATCAGACAGCGGTGCTGCCAGCACCCTGCCAAATATTTACTGTCCCAGGAAAGGAGAGGCTGTCCTTCAATGCTGCCTCCATCAACCCTGAGGGTGCCTCGCATGTCACTCCCCGGTAATTACAAGTCACTTTCAGCACAGTCAGCCGTTGAGTCCTCTGCTCATTCCTGGAACAACTCATGCTTCTGTGTCAATCGGCCACCCTCCTCAGGGACAGCAAATGCTGAGTGGCCACAGCCCTTGTGAACACCCCGCAGTGTGCCTGGCCAGAGTGCATGCACAAATGGTCCTGCTCTAGGGGTCAGACCTCCTCCTCTGATCTCCCCAAAACTGCCTAGTGACCTGGCATAGCCCTTGTTGCTTGTTATTGTCTACCGATGATATCCAAAGTCACATTTCACCAAATGGGGCCCACGAGAAACAGCCAGTATACACGGTTTGAGCTTTCAAGTCACTGACACTCAGGTTCCCACTCAGCAGCTGGAGGGTTACCGGGAGGGCAGAGGCAGGCAGGTGTCCGTCGTCCTATGACACTGGCAGCAGGGTGGACAAGAGCGGTGTGGCCCTTCTCTTTCTTCACCTCCTCTCTCTGCCCCTTCTCCTGCTTCTTCTCTTTCTTCACGGTTCTTCAAACTTAGGGTCTTTGCACTAAGCTACATCCCTAGCCCTTTTCAAATTTTATTTTGTTTTTATATTTTGAG